CACGCACCATAAGAGTCATGTTTTTGATACTAAACTAATATGTATAACTTCAGAAAAGTGGATCAAAAATTGGCCTCATTGAGCTATAAAGAGTCCTATTTGGATTCTTGAATTGTTACAGAAACACATTGATGTCGTGAATATCATTTAAAATTTATGAGTATAATTTCGTGATACCTTCAACCAACCTGTTCAAGTACAAAAAAATTAACCTAAATTGTTCTGGCTAAGTCATAAATTTTTTGAAATTGGATTAAAAACTGTATCGTCCATTATTGCTGGAGATATCTCACATCTTACTCGAAATGAAATAAAAATATAATGCAATACCACCGCTGGTTCAAACAATGTATCTATCACCTAGCTGCTGGTGTCGGCCTATTGAGTTGTTGCTGGCCTTCCGTCATTCTCGAAGTGTTATTTATTACCCACATAAACAATATTACTTACTCCTATCAGCCAATACGGATCTCGCCTTTGCAACCACACCATCATGTTTTAGCTAATGAGATGAATGACCTCAATGTAAAGAAGACATGTTTATAAGCCAATAAAAATGCTGCATTTGCAATTTACTTTGTGGGTAGGTTTTCAATACGGGTAGATGTGATAAATGGTTTCTATCACGTTTTAAGTTTCAGCCTTAAATCAAAAATCTTTTCTAAACTTCATTTTAATCACCTAAAATTCTTGAGCGATGGTTTTACACCCACCATGAAACTCACGTTTTTTGTACCAAATTAATATATATTGCTGCAGGTGTGGCTGCAGTTGTGTGTCATGCGCAAGCTGTTGACCGTGATGGGAGAGGGTTCATAACCCGTTACTGTGGATACACAACCCATTAACACGAACGCACAGTGGGATTATAATGGGTGCATGTAGTCGGCGCAGAACATTCTTCAAATGCTCTTTATGGTTGCGTATGTAGATAAATTAAGTAAGCTTAGATGTAGCAGTAGTGCGAACTAATTCTTAAATACATCACTTTGGTTTTACCTCTTCGACCACAAGCCATCGTCATTCTCATCCTCTGCGTTCGACTTAGTTATTAAGAGGTTATGAGCCGAAGTTTGAACGCTACGCTCACGATGGAACCGCTCGACGGGTCAAACTACGCGCTTCGGGCGTTCAAGATGAATATGTATCTCATGTCCAAGGGACTGTGGGATGCAGTGCTCAGTAGAGCAGGTGTCACGGCGATGAAGGAGCAGCAAGCGCACGCGACGATCGTGCTCAACTTGATTGACTCCCAGATTGTTTACGTCATGAACGCAACCAGTGCTCACAAAACATGAGCAGCACTGGAAGGGTTTTACCGAACGCAGATCATGGTAAGCCGGCTATGACTCAAGGAGAAGCTCGCTTCACCAAGTATACGGCAACGGACATGAGCGCCCATGTGATGTAGCTATAGCAACTAGTGCTGCAGATGAGAAACGCGAACTGCGAGCAAAATGAAGAGAATGTGTGCGCGACGATGCTGCGCAGCCTGCGTCGTACGAGAGCCTGGTGCAGGCGATCCGCATGAGTGTGACTCAACTCAGCTTCAGCAACCTCGTAAGCAAGATGATCGCCGAGATGGCGAGCAAGCAGGAATCATGCCGCATTGAAAGCGAAACAGCGCTACACGTGGGCAAGAAACGCGAAAAGCGCCAGTTCGCTAGAAGTGTGGCGGTCAGCGCAAAATGGTAGCGAATGTTCAGTGCTACAATTGTGGGAAACGCGGGCACTGCGCGCGCGACTGCTGGGCGAAGACTAGCGGCAACGGTGGCAACGGCAACCAACATGAAACCTACTCAAACATGGCATTCAGCGCAAGCGAAGGAAGCTCGGGCGACTGCAACATTTTAGCTAATGAGATAATTGACCTCGATGAAGAGAAGACATGTCTCTAAACCGATAAAAATGCTGTATTTGCAATTTACTTTGTGTGGTGTAATCAGTATGGATATATGTGATAAATGATTTTTATCATGTTAAGCGTCAACTTTAGGCTTCAGCCTTATATCAAAATCCATTTCTAAACTGCTTTTGAATTGTCCAAACTCTTGTGCGATGGTTATACGCACCATAAGACTCATTTTTTTATATTAAACTAAAGAAAAGTGAATCAAAAATTGTCATCATTGAGCTATAAAGAGTCCTATTTTGATTCTCGATTTGTGTCAATAACACACCGATGTCGTGAATATCATTATTAAAGAATTAAGACAAAATTATATATCTTCAATCAACCTATTTGAGTACAGAAACCATCAAATAACCTAAATCAGTACTGACTATGTCATAAATGTATTGAAATTGGATTAAAGATATTATTATCGAATTATGTTGCAAACATCACGCAATCTACTTGAAATGAAAGAAAAATAGAATGCAATACCACCAGTGGTACAAACAATCTATCTTTCGACTGGTCGCTGGTGTTGACCTATTGAGTTGTTGCTGACCTCCCCGTCATTCTCCAAGTGTTTCCTATCACCCACATATATAATCCTACTTTCTACTATCAGCCAATACGGAGCTCGCCTTTGCAACCACACCATCATATTTTAGCTAATGAGACGAATGACCTCGATGAACAACAGACATGTCTTTAAGCCAATAAAAATGCTGTATTTGCAATTTACTTTGTGGGGGGGTGATCAATATGGATGTATGTGATAAATGATTTCTATTATGTTAAGCGCTAAGTTTAGGTTTCAGGCTCACATCAAAATCGATTTCTAAACTTCATTTTTAAATTGTCCAAACCGTTGAGCGATGGTTAT